TTGGGAGGGAGGGAGACGCAAGAGGGAAGAGATATGGGAACATATGTATATGTATAACTGATTCACTTTGTTATAAAGCAGGAACTAACACACCATTGTAAAGCAATTATACCCCAATAAAGATGTTAAAAAAATAAAAATAAATAATAAAAATTTAAAATGTCATTGGAATTTTGAAAAAAAAAAAAAAGAGAGAGAGCGCATAGGGCTTCCCTGGTGGCGCAGTGGTTGAGAGTCCGCCTGCCGATGCAGGGGACACGGGTTCGTGCCCCGGTCCAGGAGGATCCCACACGCCGCGGAGCGGTTGGGCCCGTGAGCCATGGCCGCTGAGCCTGCGCGTCCGGAGCCTGTGCTCCTCAACGGGAGAAGGCAAAAAAAGTAAGAGCCCCCCACACCCAAAAAAAAAAAACAAAAACAAAAACTAGAGAGCACCCAGTTAAATTTGAATATCAGATCAACAATAAATCATTTCATAGTGTAAGTATAGTCCGTGTAATATTTGGGATAAACTTATGCTAAAAACGTGATTATTGATCTGACATTCAAATTTAACTGGGCTTTCTGCATTTGACCAGGCAGCACTACCACAAAGGCAGGTGGATGCAGGGACTCTGCAGACATTCAGGGAGAGGGAAGGGGCCAGGGTGGCTGCAGGGGACGTGAGGAGGGGCCCCAGAAAAGACAAGGGTGCCCCTTTTCGTGTACTTTTCCGGGGAACAGCTCTGGGAAGGCGAACTTATCAGTCTTCCAAGCGTTGGCCGAGGGCTCTTCGGAGAAGGCTTCAGCGCCGTGGGCTCCCTGCTAGCCCGGCCTCCCTCTGCCTCCGCGGGGCGGGCGGGCGGCTGGGAAGCGGCAGCCAGCGGAGCAAATGGACCGGCGCGGTAATCCCGCCCTCCGCGCCCAGAGGGGTGGAGCCTGAGCGAGGAATCCGCGAGCAGTCCTCTCTCCCCGGATGACTAGCAGCAGGATAACATGGAGTCGGGCAAGATGGCGCCTCCCAAGAACGCTCCGAGAGATGCCTTGGTGAGTGCGAAGGATGCGAGGCGGGGTGCGAAGCTGGGCGCGACCGCAGCCGGGGACCTGAGAGGCGGGCCTGGGGGAAGGACCTGATGATGGGCTCGCGGGTCGACTTCAGCCATGCCAGGGCCGCCAGGAGCTGGAGATTCGAGTGCCCTGGACCCCAGGGCTCTCTCCCGCCACCCCGGCGGCCCAGCCGGAGGGAGGCTGGCGGCCCGCCGGATGCGCAGGCCGGCCTCCCGGCTTTGTCTCCTGGGCCTCGGGCCCGGGCCGCCTAGTCGTCCCGCCCCGTCTGCGAATCCTGGCTCGCGCCTCCAGTGTTCTGATGCAAAGCTACCGCAGTCGCCACATCTGAAAATGTAAACCAGCTGTAACCACCCCTACCTCGACTGGGAAAGCCAACCCGGGCCTTTTTCTTCTCTTTGCCCCCGCCCCCACCCCCACCCCCACCCCCGCCAAAGAAAAGTTTTCAGCAAAGAGATCAAGACGAGATTTGGTGTGAACCTGACACTCGCTTGGGAGGAAAAGGATAAGTACAAGTTTGGAACCCAGAGAAGGGGGAACCTTGTATCATAAATATAATTACTACCTTCGGTCCAGTCTTGATTTCTATACCTAGATTATGCATCTGGCGTTTTAATTTGAATCCACAGGTGATGGCACAGATCCTGAAGGATATGGGAATTACGGAGTACGAACCAAGGGTTATAAATCAAATGTTGGAATTTGCTTTCCGTAAGTTAACAAAACACCAAAATCGCCTAACTTGTGAATTTTAAAAATCGTTCATTGTAAGAACATTTTCAACCAAAATACTTTAACAGTTAATGTCATAACATGTCATTATACACTTGTCCAAACCCACAAAATGTAGAGTTCCAAGAGTGAACCATAATATAAACTACGGACTATCGGGGATTATGATGGGTCCGTGTAGGACTATCAATTGTAACAAACGCACCACTTTGCAGGGAACATTGATAATAGAGGATGCTATGCATGTATGGCGTCAGGGAGTATATAGGAAATCTCTGTATATTCCCCTCAATTTTGCTGTGAACCTAAAACTACTCTACAGAAATAAAGTCTTAAAAATATGTGAAGAAAAAAAAGAGTTAATGTTATAGAATTCAGAAAGCAGTAAAAAGGAGCTCAGGCTAGGGAACAGTATATTGTTATATCTGTTTAAAATTGATCATATAGATAGGCCAATTAGATATTAGAACCAAAATTCATAAACTTTCTGGAAATTAGTGAAACTTTTTTAAAAAACTGGCCATAAATATTAATCTATTTTCATATGTTTTAAATAATGTTTTGTTCTTAAAGGATATGTGACTTCAATTCTGGATGATGCAAAAATTTATTCAAGCCATGCTAAGAAACCTAATGTTGATGCAGATGATGTGAGACTGGCAATCCAGTGTCGGGCTGACCAGTCTTTTACCTCTCCTCCCCCGAGAGATGTGAGCAAAATTTTATTTGAAGTTCATTTTACTTACAATTTTTAATTGTAGTTCTAATAAGGATTTTTTTTTTTAGTTTTTACTGGATATTGCAAGGCAGAAAAATCAAACCCCTTTACCACTGATTAAGCCATATGCAGGACCCAGACTGCCACCTGACAGATATTGCTTAACAGCTCCAAACTATAGGCTAAAGTCCTTAATTAAAAAGGTAAGAATTTTTAGTCATCTTAGCTTTTAAAAAGGGTAAGATGTGTTAGGGGTAAATAGTGCAGTAAATTAAAGGCTAAGATAATTTACTAGGATTTTTTAAAATTTAGTTCCTTGAAAATACTATGTCTGCAATTAGCTACTATGTTAAAATATAGAATATATGATCCAAGATTTTTAGGGCTAAAAGGAACTTTATTGTTCATCTAACTCATCAGGGAAGTGAGCCCGAACTCATCTATGAAGTTAGTAGCAAAGTTAAGACTGATTCCCAGGTCTCATAACTCCCAATCTTTACACTATACCATAACAGAGTAAATGATATACCATCAGGCATTGGACTTGCTTTCTGAAATATGACCTAAGGCTCTCCCACCACTGAGAAAGTTCTCCCCACATTGGGCTACCTCTGTACCTCTGAAATTCCACTATAAGGAAGTTTCTTACTGGGTTAAGATATTGACTAGTTAAGATTAAAAAATCATAAGGAAGTTAGCTATTATCCCCAAATAACACTCTACCTCAAACTTTAAAACTATATAGAATTATATATTTTATATATATATTCTTATCCATGTTTATATAGATATGTATTGTTTGTATTATATGTGTGTGTATATATATATAGATATTTGTGAAAACCCTAGTTTAAATGTTGCATTAGAACACTGAACAGAAACAGGACGTTCTTGCCATCAATTATCTATTAATAATTCATATCAGCAATCCTAATTTCATTTCCTGCTAACTTTAGGTGTCAAGTGTGAACAACGTTAAAACTAATTTGTTTTTTAAATCCCCTAGGGACCTAACCAAGGAAGACTAGTTCCACGGTTAAGTGTTGGTGCTGTTAGTAGCAGACCTACCACTCCTACTATAGGTAAGTGCGAGAGGGAAATGGCTTTTCTGGCTGGTAAAGAAGTGCCTCAGCACTTGATTTTGAACTGTAATCCAAGTAAAAAGGTGAGTCAGCAATTCCGATATGTGTTGCCATTAATACATTTACTCGTCCTCTAGTAAAGCTATAAACATATTTTATCAGATTTCAAAATGAGAAAGCGACAAGGAATATCTGATCCCAAATGAGTATAGAATTGGGCATTACCCAACATTGTTGCCGGTATTAACTATGGTAACAAAAACAGAAGTTTAAGCAGTGTTCTTTCTGGGTTTTATACAAATAAAGTTGCCAAACTCACAGCAGTAGCCTACTTATTATAAGAAATTAAATTTCTGAGTAAATTGGCAAGAGATGCAATCAAAAGAAGTTTAAAGTATACAAAAAGCTTAAGACTATCAAAGAAAATCATTTTTAATATAACCTTTTCAAAAGTAGTACTGATTATCCTGTATTGGTCAGTGAGCACCCCTTCAGACTGTTTCCTGTGTCCTTTGTGACAGGTCTCCATCATTCTTTGAGCATTTCTTGCTTCCTGGCACAAGATGTTCCAAGCTCATCTTATATTTTCCTTACCCCAGTCCTAGAATCAGCCATTTCTCTAAAGAGCCCTGGTTCCTCTTAGTGGAGAATGGCATTTAGAAACCATAATGTCATTGTTGCTTAGATAATAAGGAACACATGAATAATGGATTTAGATTTCCTGATTTTTTTTTCCTATGTTCCTGCTGTATTTTTTTCATAGTCAAAGTCTTTTCAGAAAAAAAAAACCCCTTCTCTTTGACCAGTATTGATTTCTTAGCTCTTACAACTTGAGTACTATAGATGTCATATAGCTCTAGCGTAAGCAGCATTTGATTTTTGAGATGTGTAGACAACCTCTTCATATTTTCAGGTGTGAATTCACATTTCAGCATTTTAAAACCAGACTGGTATAGTATTAATTTGTACACTTCTAATTATATGCATGTGACCTGTGTAGACAGGAGTTTGCATATATAATTTGTGTAACTTTTTGATCATATACTGTTTATCTGTGGGTTCATATCTCTTAAGTGAATACCAACTTTTTAAAAACTCTAGGCTGTGCTAATCAGTTACATGTGTTGGCAAGTTAACCAATTTTAGTTACCAGTTGTGATTTTTATTCCTAGTTAGACATTTATTGTACATGTTTTAGAGATTTTTAAGTCTAGAGTGAGGGAGCTGCTAAAAACTATTAAAGATGCAAGTTTTAAACTTTAAAAAAAATTTAAATGTGTTTCATAAAGCATAAGACCTAAGCGTATACTCTGTTCAATTTTAAAACCTAAACTCCATACTTAGATAAATGTTAACAGTTTCCTTATGGTAATGGACAAGAAAACATCCACCTACTGTGAATTTTCTTGACAAAATAAAATACTTATATTGCTTCATTAAGCTTCACCAAATTCTTTGGACCACTCCTTAATACATGGAAAACTTACCTAAAGATGGAGATATGTTAGGCTTCTGTTAGATGCATGTTGATTTAGCTTCATGGGCATAGTAGACACCTCCTAATTCCCAGCAAGTGACAGAGATTAAAAGTGCCACATAAGATAATTAATAGAAAACTTGGGTCTTTAATGCTGTTTATTTAAATGTTCAACTTCATGACTTCATGTAGCTAAAATTCAGTGCCAGATGCTATGTGAAGAGTTTTACATGGATTATTTTAATTCTCACAAGAATCCTATGAAACAGGTATTGTTATCCCCATTTGATAGATGAGAAAAGCACAAAAAGATTAAATAACTTGCCCAAGGTCACTCAGCTAGTAGGTGATAAAGCCTGGATTCAAACTCAAGCAGATCTTTCATTAATTCCCTGTGCTTTGAAGGTAGTTTCTGGTAAGCTAAAGGAGAGCAGAAATTGAACCTGTATAATAAGTCACCTAACTAACATGGTCTGTTAATTACAACTACAGCAACCCCACAAACAGTGTCTGTCCCAAATAAAGTTGCACCTCCAGTGTCAGTGACAAGCCAAAGATTTACGGTGCAGATTCCACCTTCTCAGTCCACACCTGTCAAACCAGGTAACATGATGGGCAGGGCATGGGGGATTGAAAGTGGTTCTTTTAAAATATTTTTCTGAATTTTAAAATTTGTGAATGATTCGTGATAACAGAACAGTTTGTATTCCTATAGCAATAATTAAATTGTTTTAATATCGTAACAGGAAGGCGGCCGTAATGCTGCAAATCTGGGTTCTTCAGAGGGGGTCTATAAACACACTAAAATTGTATGAAATTTTACATATATGTAACATTTTGGGGGGAAGGGAGAGATTTCAACATGATCATCAGAGTCTCAAAGAACCCTATGAACTAAAATAAGTTATGGTCTACAAATCTCAGGCAAAATCACTTAGGGTTAAAGCTCAAGAAAATAATACAACTTAGTATATATCCAATGAAAACTGTACTTTTATTCACTTCACGGAAGTATATGTAGAAAGTTAGAATAATATAAGTAGAATTCTGTTATAACGTAGTTTATTCATGAATATGTTTAGATTTCACATCTTCTGAAACCTAACCGTACACCATAATATTGGTCTGTAAGGAAGCATGATTCCTGACCTTGAACATGTGCCTTTAGTATGTTCCATGATGAATCCAGTGCACTGCTTCCCATGACTGAGAACTAATTGAAATTTTAAGTAAATTAAAAACAGGGCTTCCCTGGTGGTGCAGTGGTTGAGTCCGCCTGCCGATGCAGGGGACACAGGTTCGTGCCCCGGTCTGGGAAGATCCGTGCGGCGGAGCAGCTAGGCCCGTGAGCCATGGCCGCTGAGCCTGCGCGTCCGGAGCCTGTGCTCCACAACGGGAGAGGCCACAATAGTGAGAGGCCCGCGTACCGCAAAAAAAAACAAAAAAAACTAACAGAACTTCTTTAACCTTATACTAGATACTAATTTAAGTACTTTAAATCATTAAAAAATGTAATTTAACTCTTAATGCAGTATAATTATGTTTCTTCTGATATAGTTTTACTTCATGCTATTGAAATTGTTATTAAAATTACATTCAGCTTTGTTGAATACTTTTTACTCTCAGAAGCATTATACTTTGTGTACTCCTGCTTTATGTCTCATTTTTAATTGAACACTAAGGGAATGTAGTATTTTAATCATAACTCTTTATCTAGAGGCCTGTTGCCATTTTTGTGATTTATGAAATTTTTGTCGCCAAAAAAGGCAGGATTATGTTTTTTCCTTCCAGATTGAGTTGGTATAGTGTATTCTTGGCTGTCAGAATACTCACAGCTTTGGGACTTTGAAATGGTAAATATTCATGATGTGTGAAAAAGCATATACATAACTGTATGATCTTAATTACATAAAAATGGATGCTTAGTTATGTAGATACACAAACAAAACCTAGAAGGACACATCAAACGGTAAACTGCTTGTGATTATGGATGACTTTGTTTTTTGCTTCTTGTGTTTTTTGGTTTCCTATTATGCACATGTTAACTTTTAAGAAATAAATGTTATTTTAAAAACCTTAAAAAAAGAAATTATTATTAGAATTACATTTCAGCTTTGTTGAATACTTTTTACCATATGTTTCTGATTCTGTGTAGTTCATAGTTTGGGGGTGTTTTCTCCTCTGTTTACAGTTCCTGCAACAACTGCAGTTCAAAATGTTCTGCTTAATCCTTCAATGATTGGGCCCAAAAATATTCTTATTACCACCAACATGGTTTCATCACAGAACACGGCCAATGAATCAAACCCATTGAAGAGAAAACATGAAGATGATGACAATGATACTATGTAAGGAATATAGTGTAGTCTCTATGCATTTCAAACGTGTAGTTGGTTTTGAGCCCAGTATACCAAACTAGAACATTCTTGATCGAAAACTTAAATGTAGCTGCAATATCTTTCACCTTAAAGTGTTATGTTTATTTCTTAAGGGTACCAATGTTTTTTCATTAGGCTTCAAGTATAAAAAGTTAAGTGCTTGTTTATTAATGGTTTCATTAATGTTGAGTCCTGCTATGGTAATTCTATTTTTGGAAGCAGTTTTCTGCAATGTATCTGACAGCAACACTTAAGTTTCACTTTCTACAGCCTGATCAGTAGACTAATCTTTAACAGCATAATTTCTAATCTATATTTAAATACTTCTTTTGTACGATAAAATAGTCACTTTTATTGTCACCAACTTTTTTGACCAGATCTCTCAATTTAGTAAATATTGTTGGAGAGGTTGGATTTAGAGGGATTCTAAATCCATTTTGAATATATTTAAGCTGTTTCTTGATGTTCCCTAACCTCCCACCTCAGCCCCGTTTCTAGATCCCATTCATTTTCTGCACCACCTCCTCCCCACAGGCTTACGTTTCTCCCTATTGCTCTTAAATTTAAAAGGCCCAAACTGGAACTTTAGGAATATAATTCCTGATAATACAGCTCAGTGTCATTTTCATATTTTTAAAACCTGCTTTACATGCCTGATGGTCTATGGTTCACTTTAACCAGAAGGTTTGCATTTGCTGTTTTTCTCTCCATACCAGAGCAGTTGGGTTTTATCCCTTACCTTTTATGCCCATTGAGCATTACTCTGCTTTTGACAGGTAGTTTAGGGTCAGTTACATTCAGTTTCAGTCATATTCCAAGTTGATAACTCCACCGTATTTCACAATTTGAAATTTAACATGAAAGATGCTATAGCTTAAAATCTGCCTTGATAAGTATACTTACACTGGACCTAGGCAAAACCACTGAAGAGCAAGTGTTTTCTTCCTTTCTACCATACATATATATGCTTTGATCACTACTGCTTGAACCCCCCATTGGTATAATTCAGATTTTTCCAGCTTATTGCTGAGGATGTCACACATAAGATGGGATCAAACCTGAAAGTTTTCTAATGGTTTTCCTTCCTCTAGAAGGCCAACACAAACAAATTAGTGTGATGTGACTTGCGTTTAGGTGCATTCTGCATAGGCTTCCCAGTAATGTTGCTAAACACCTTTCCCTGTTCCATTTATACACATCTAAACATCCTATTGAGAAAGACTGCAAAGCTTTCAAAAATATAAACAGGCTTGTGTTGTTTTTGTTTAAGTAAGTTTGACATATTCAACATAGGAATACTTTTGCAGAATTTCTAAAACAAATTTTTATATCATAATTTAGAACTTATAGCCAAGGATCCTCAAAACTTAAAACACAAGTAAGTTTCATCTTAGGATGGTGCTTGGTACATCAAAGAGAAATAGTCCAGTAACAGGGAAGAAATATCTCATCAAATCTGTGATTCAGTGTTTTTGGATATTAGGAAAAGGTGATACCAGACTTATAAAAATAGATCTGATCATCATAGGAGAGAAATGTTCATTATATAGCATAGGATGCCATTACTTGAATGTTCTCAGGGAGGCATGTCAGAAAGCCTAGGTTCTAGTCCTGGCTCCATCGCTAACCAACTGTGTGACCTTACTTCACCCATGAGCCTTGTTCTCCTCACTAGTAATAGGAAAATAACACCAACCCTGCCTACCTCACAGGGATGTTGTGAGGGTTTAATTGGTATTTGTGAAAGTGCTTTCAAAATTGTAAAAATGCTATATGACTCTAAGGAATTGTTAACGTATTTGTTCCAAGATTATTAATAAACAATTGAACTTACTGTATTTCTCACTTTTGATTTAAGGGATTCAAAGAGGATGAACAAGGCCCAGTAATTCTGAGGTCCAAAAAGCAAGATTTGCTTAATGGATGATTATAAATCAGGGAATTGCTTGCTTTTATTTGGAATCAGCATGTGACTCATCATAATGAAGCAAAATAAATATGAAAGGTTATGGGTTTAAATCTGTTAACATAACATGCTCTGTCTTTAGTGGGAATTTATACATATAATTGAGGTTGCAATCTGAGTGTTCATTCTCTTAGCCAGCCAGTGGGTGGTTTGCCCTTTCCGATGAAGACTGCTTTATCTTGCAGATCTCCCTTTCCTAATTACATCCACCCATTCTAGCATCAAGAATGACTTAAGGGACTTCCCTGGTGGTGTAGTGGCTAAGAATCTGCCTATCAATGCAGGGGACATGGGTTCGAGCCCTGGTGCGGGAAGATCCCACATGCCGCGGAGCAGCTAAGCCCATGAGCCACAACTGCTGAGCCTGTGTTCTACAGCCTGCGAGCCACAACTACTGAGCCCGTGCACCACAACTACTGAGCCCATGTGCTGCAACTACTGAGCCCACATGCTGCAACTACTGAAGCCCATGTGCTCTAGGGCCCACATGCCACAACTACTGAAGCCCATGCACCTAGAGCCTGTGCTCCACAACAAGAGAAGCCACCGCAATGAGAAGCCCATGCACTGCAACGAGGAGTAGCCCCCGCTCACTGCAACTAGAGAAAGCCCACATGCAGCAACGAAGACCCAACGCAGCCAAAAATTAATTAATTTTTTTAAAAAAAGAATGACTTAAGGCAGCTCTTGTCCTCTGGCTTCTAGGTGGAATTTTTTTAAAAGATGTACTGATAGGAAATGAGGTGAGGACACTGTCATCCCAAGTTCTTCCTTCTACAAGTAGGAAACAAGTGTCTTTGCTGAGTAAGAATATAGGAATACAGCCACTATGCAGGGAGAATGGAAGATGTGGCCTAAGGGGTCCAGAGTGAAGAGAAGTAACTCAGGAGGTAAGGAAAAAAAACATCAGAACCACAGGTACAAAGCAGTGTGTGTAATTATGCCACCATACACCAACACACACGTGCACATGCATACCCTTTTTATATGCATTAAGTAGCTCGAGATTGAAGTAAACCAGTCTTACAGTGATTGGTTGCTTCTAAGAAGGGAAACTGGTAGCTAGGGGACTAAGGTAGGAAGGAGTCTTCTCATTGTACTCCTTTTTGACTTTTGTATCATGTACTAGAGGGAAGTTTTGGACATGAAAAGAAAGGAAGCAGGAAACACTGAACTAAAGAAGAGATTGAACTCATTTATGATGATTATAATTTTTTTCCTATATACAGGCATACATATGTTGTCTGGGGGTTAAAAGTGAATTTGCTACACTTAAGCCTAAACCTTTGCAGTGTTTTATCAATAATTCATAACTCTGTATTAAATCAGGAAGCACATACTTGTACAATTCTAGTTTATATATGCATAAATTGTTTGTTATATACTATCTTCCTTGACTAGGTTGTAAATTCCTTCAGGAGATAACTGCTATCATCTTATACTGCCTCTATTATGTCCTGAGCATATAGCAGGTACTCAAAATATTTGGCTGTTTGCGTTTCCCCATTCATTTTCTGGATTAATGACCGAAATAAATGGGGAAAAGATCCTGGAAGCAGAGTCTGGTAGAAATTACTTATAAGGTACAATCAGGGGTTGATGGATGGACGAATGGCAGTTGTAGAGTCTAAGTGTTAGGTTTATGGGTGTTTACAATTCTTTCAATTTCTCTGTACATTTGAAATAATAAAATGTTGAGGGAAAGGTAATCAGTAGGGGAAGAAAGTCATCAGTATGCTAAAGTTCTGGCCCGGCTATGACATTAATTCTCTGGATCAATGTGTAGCATCTCTGGGCCTCACCTACAAAAAAGATTGTACTATAATTCCTGCTTCTCAAACCAGGGTAGAGCATGCCATTAGAGATGTGCAGAAATATGGTGTTTTTAAAAATTAACTACAACTATGGTGACAGTATTAAAATACAAATGAATTTTTAGAAAAAATTCAAGCCTTCAAAATTTGTTTTGTTTAAAGCAGCCACCAAAATTTTCTTTTGCTGTTCTCTCCAGAGTTAAGCAAAAAATTCCTAGTCTAGAAGAATCATTTCAGGGAGTGAGGCACACTGAAAAAGCACCAGCCTTTGGAGTCAGACAGACCTGGATTTGAATCCCTGCTGTTACGGGCTCTGTGATCCTGTCCAATAGTTTATTTCTTTATCCATAAAGGTGAAATACATACTCTAGTATGTAAAATGCCCAGCAGAAAAATTCCAGTTACACACAGCCTTTTGAAATTGCACCATTTACCTCTGCTCATTCCTGAAACTCCCATTAAAATGACAGGAAAGAGAAAGGAGGGAAAATTACAAGGACAATAAAAGAATAAGAATGTCGTTGAAATCGCTTTGGCCTTTTGGCTAAGATCAAGTGTAGGATGTCATTAGATTTTCAGCAATGACAGTGAATCAAAGGCTTTAAGTCTGAGAAACTGATAGGTAGGCTGAAATTCTACATATAACCAAACAGGCAAATATAAGAGCTGAATAAAGATATCTTCAGACATACAAAAAATTTTGCCTCCTACGCCCTCAATTTCTCAGAAAGCTAGTGGAGTCTTGTATTTCACAAAAAGGAGAAGTAAACCAAGAAAGAAGGGGAAAACAGATCCAGGAAAGGGAAGGTTCAACACAGGAGGTTAAAGGAATCCCCAAGAGTTACCCCACAGGGATTTCCTCTGGAAACAGGAAACCCCAGGGCAACAGCTGTACAGCCAACATAGGGGGCAGCCAGTACAAACTGGAACAGGAACACAGAGGACTGCAGGAGGGACGTCTCTAATAAAAATGAACCTACTGTCCCATATGTTTGAATATGTTGGGAATGAATCAGTGACAGATACATAGAAAAAAAGAAACTAATTTTTAAAACTATTTTTAACTCCAAAGAAAATTAAAAGATACATAAGTAAATATAATCATGGCATATGACATAGCTCAGCTGTGAATAATATTTATAATCACAATGTAGACTCTATTGATCAAATCTAAAATTATGACAAAACTATACTGGGAGAATTAAGAAGGGGACATACATATGGAACAAAGGCTATAAGAGAGCTAAATCTTCCCATGTATGAAATCAAGAAGTTAACAGTTTAAGCATGTTACTTAGAAACATGGACGTAGATATCTGATCCCTTCCTCAAGATTCTGTTCTCACCCTAACAAAATATGACAGGAAAAAAAATCCCAGTTTCAATGGATATTTTTATTATTTATTTAATAGATCACCAACTTCATCTCCCTCCTTACCAACAACTGGAATTTCATTTTGTTTCCATGCTGAGTGGTGAAACTATGACAAAGCTAATCAGAATAAGCTACTTCATAAAGAGAACTAAGCTAACACAGCTCACTTTCTTTTAACAGGCATAATACAAATATATGCACTCTAGAATGGACAACGGTTTAGTCTCTAAGAAATTCAAATGGGATCTTGAAGAATGTAGGCAAAGCCAGGGTGCAGTAAAGGTGAGCTGAGATGCCATACAACTGTTTAAGGGTTCCTGGCGCTACATCTCTTGGCCACTAGCCGAATCTTGACATAGAGGAAGATATTAGCTAATGCCAAGTGGAGATGCAGAAAGCACTAAGTTGACTTAGGGGCTATGCACAGGAACCAAAAGGCAGGAAAGTACTAAACACTGCTGAGAGCCTCCACCCCAGGAAGGACTTTACCTGTTTTTGAGAGAACACACACACACACAGTCAGCATTACTATAGGATCCACTAAGCCAGATCTGTCCCCTTCTATCCGCCCAATAACATATCAGCTCTTCTCTAGGGTATATGGCCAGGAGTTAGGTAACTTTTACATTTTGGGTCCCAGGTCTACTAGAGCATAACCTCTTTGAGAATAAGTCTTCCCATGTAGCCCTCCCCACCTCAAATGGAAGCCAGGAGCTTTATTTGAAACTCCTCCATTTGTACTGCCCAACTAATGACTGCTAATGACACTATCTACCGTCTCCACTCCGTTCTATTCACCTCTCACTGCATAAACCCCATCCTTCCCCCAAATAAGTCAGAAAAACATTAAAGAACCTCACCTTCCAGGAGCTCTAAACTGGCACCACCTCCGGTGCTTACATGGCTGACTTTATCCTCTGTGTTCCATTTGGCACAGCAAGTAGCAGTGTCTCCACCACCTGTTGAATGAAAGCCAAGTAAAAAGGGGAAAGGAGAGAAAAGAAAAAAGATTGGCACCAAAATTATAAGGCAATGTGCTCTCGAGCCCAAAAGGTAGCCAATAACCCCCCAAGTCCATCTCATTTAGAGGTTCCTCCATGAATTATATACCCATTTAGCTCTCAAGATTCACCTGGCACCAAGGAACCTAGGAAAAGTTAACCATTTCTCCTCTACTTTCCTCTGATCAGAATTCTGCCAGCTCACATTGGCAATAGCTTTGTACAGGACCCCTTACCTATGATGGTGATGCAGCCCCTGGAAGTGGCTTTCACCACCTCATCCATGAGGGCTTTGGTTCCTCGGGCAAAAGCTTCCCATTCAAATACACCCACAGGTCCATTCCACACAATCTGCTTAGCCCGAGCAACAGCCTCAGCATACTTCTTGCTGCTCTCAGGACCACAGTCCAAGCCCTAAGGGGCAGAGTTAAAAGAGAGGATGAGCTACCAATAAAAGCTACTTAGAGGAGCAAATACCTTACCTCCACCAAGACCAGAACTCAAGGCTGAACACCAGAGTGTCTTCTAGAACCAAAAGATACCCCTCATTCTTTAAAATTATAAACCTGTTCATATCCTTTATGGAAGATCAAGTCTAAGGGAAAACCTCAAAAGTTATTTGATAAAAACATTCTTAGCCACACTATTTTATGATTGTGTGTAACTAGATAAGTGGTTTTCAACTAGGGTCAATTCCGTCCCTCCCTAGGGAACATATGGCAATGTCTCAAGACATTTTTGATTGTCATGATTTGGAGATGGTAGGAGGTTGCTTCTGGCATCTAGTGGCCAAAGATGCCTTAAACATCCTATAAGGCAACAACAGCCCTCCACAACTAAAACTACCCGAGATGTCAATAGTGCCGAGGTTGAAAAACACTAAACTATATCAGTGGTTCTCAAATCTTGTTGTGCATCAGAATCACCAGGATGGCTTGTTCGAGCACAAATTTCTGGGCCTTACCCCCAGAGTTTCTGCTTCAGCAGGTCGGGGGGCAGGGGGCAAGAATCTGCATTTTTTAATGAGTTTCAAAATGATGCTGATGCTGCTGTTCTCTTTTTAATTTATTTTTGGCTGCTTTGGTTCTTCGTTGCTGCACGCGGGCT